TAATCCGGGAGAAGAACGCTCAACACCTCGGGCTGAGACTCATTTCTATTCTCAAGAAGTCATGCATCAAGGTTACTTCCATTCGCGAAAACAAAAACAGGTCCTGTAGCAGGTCCTCTAGCAGTAGTTTGCTTTATGATCGCCCACTAGGAACGCTAGACTTGTTTTCACCTCTCGCTGTATTTCCTGTCCTTTCTCTTCCACTATGAAATCATGTTGATACGCTGCATGATAACACACCTGCAACTGTTTTCAACCACGTGCCCATTACTAGCAGTCTCTTGTCTGTTGCCGAAGTATTTCCCACTATTTGCCGCGAACGATAATCAGGGACGTTATTTCGAGGCGGTTCGGGCGGGGGCATTTTGCACTTTTGCTACTTCTCATCGACTGGCTCTCTAGATGAGTCGATTCATCTAGAAAGCCATTTCGTGAGCTTACAAGAGTTGGCAGGTTCTACCATGGTGGCTAGACGAGCTTGCTCCAGCTTCACAAGAGTTCACAGGTTTCACCACAGTGAGACTTGTAAACCGGAAGCTAGTCAAGCAGCGAAAGTGCAAAATGCCCCTCCTGTTGCCGGACTGCGGCCTTATGTCATTTCGTGCTTAACTACTGTTTGGCCTGAATCGGCAAAAAGTCCCATGGAAAGTACGGTGTCTTCAAACAGCAGTGGATACCTGAGCGGTACCTCTTCCAACGCACTCGGATGGTAAAAATCTATACGAAAGTCGCACTCGGTGATCAACTGGCGGTTAACAAGAACCAAGAAGAGTTTGATGTGATCATGGTCAAAACGCTAACTTCACCACCTGCTCGTACTAACCCGTAGGCATCTAATCAGGACCTTGTACGTTTGCTAGGTAGATTAGAGAGAAATGAAATGGAATTAGAGTTCATATCTGAGGTCAGCACGAGGCGTGTCTTCAAGGGCGGCGAGGGTCCAGCCGAAAGAGGCAGGGGCGTATGCACAGAAGAGAAGAGATATCATGAGGTAATCAGTTGCCCTTGCTTCCCTCCAACAACGGACGAAGCCTTGATTACCATTATCTCGCCGAGTAGCGAGGTCACGGTAATCTGGAAACTTCAGTTCCAGTCAGTTCACCGTCCCTGTGTAGCCTGTCAGGTCGACGTTTCATGGGAGCCGCGTCCGTGGTGAGGAGCGTCACTTCTCAATCGCGCCAAGTAGGCGACAGGCGGGGTGACGTACGCGGCATCCTGCACCAGACCAGCCCACCTCACAAGTCAGCGGTGGCATGTGTGGACTCAATTTCCCAGGTAAACTTGTACACCGATGCCGCGACTGGGAGCTTCCACCCCAAGGGCAGCGGGTGCGTTGCTCTGGAGACGGTTGCTTGGGAGGCGATGCCCATCCCGGAAGGGTGTGGCTGAACGTCCTTCCGCAGTGGGACTTAAGACTGCTTATCTCGTGGCGGCGCTGTTAACCCGGGGGGGGTACATTTTGTAATATCATTTCATTTTGTACTATCATTGCTTCCTCAGTTCCAGTTTACATGTCTTACACTGGCGAAACCTGTGAACACTTGTGCAGCTGGAACAAGGTAGTCAAGTCATCTTGTTAAAACCTGTCAACTCGAGAAGAGGCTGTCTAGACAGGCCGACACGTCGTTGGGGTACCTAGAAGTCAAAATGCCGCCCTTCTCGACAAACTGCCATCTCTGGCTCCTAGCCAGCGCGTATATTGCCGTTTGGAATAAATGGTGAGGAGTCTGTAAGGGAATAAATGGTGAGGAGTCTGTAAGTTTTCGCAAGTGCTAGTGAAAAGTGCATGAAGTACAGTTGCACTGCTTTGATAGTGTGACTAGCAACTTGAACAGGGGTCTTCAACGACTATTTTGTTGCTGATGTACTTGATTTACTGGAAATATTTGTTATTTTTCGGAAGGAAAAGATCAATTCTTCACGGACCAAGCCACGAAGCTAAGAGACCTGGCAGACAAGGCGTTTTTGAAGAGTTGACTGATTTCAGTTGATCTCAAAAGCTTTACTTTTGCAGACGAAATTTCGAAGATGGTTGGGAACGAGATGGCGCTTCGCTGGCGGTGTTCATCAATGGCACGAAAGTTATTGACCTCTGGGGAGGTTATGCCGATCGCCAATCAGCGCGGAAATGGAAACAGGTTCGTACTCTTTCCCCGAACATTACTCGAAGTCCTTGTGGTGTGCAACCTTAGGTCACTACGCGACGCACCAATGTGGTTCGGGGGAGGGGCGGAACACGCAGTAGCATCTCTTCTGTTGCCCAGCGCAAACACCACAATAAAATTGTTAATGCTACTTTTGTAAGCAAAGAGTGATGCCGTGGGGACTCACATAATTTCCGCTGCTGGCGTCATTTATGAAGTGTTATGTAGAAACATGGTGCCGCTGTTGATATTATGTTGTGTGTTGGCCCACATAGACACCAATAAACAAATTTAACGGATTATTTATAGGAAGTTTGGCATATTTAACCATTACTACCCCAATATTCTAAAATCAGGCTAGTTTGTTAGGTGTGGAGACTTTTCTACGAGGGCAGATTAGGCTGAAAACTTGTTTCCACGGGTAGTTCGATCTCCTGAACGCGAATATCACATACGCTCGCCCGAAAGTGACTGGCGCCCGCGCCAGCATACCCTGGATCGCCAAATCCACTGAAAACTTAACCCCAGATCATGAAATTCTCTGAAAACTTGTGTACGGATGTTGTTTGACATCCTGTTGAACAAAATGACATTCGTTCTTGGCATTAGTGCTAATGGAGGTCACTACGATCATCTTCGCTCTGCTAAGGCCTGAACGTGGCCAGGTGAAAATCACTACTTCTCCGAGGCTCAACATTAGCAGAGCGCAGATGATCGTAGTGTACTCTAACAGGCTATCAAAAAACGTATACAAGTTTTCAGTGGATTGGGTAATTTAGGGTATCTCGGCGCCGGCGACTGTGGCGCGGGCGCCAGACACTTCCAAGATATTCGTGTTGAGGATGCCGAACTACTCGTGGAAACAAGTTTCCAGCCGATTTCGCCTCGTAGAAAAAACTCTGTAACAAACTATCCTGATTTCGGAGGACTGGGGTAGTAAAAGTTGAATAGTGCCAAACTTTCTACACATAACAGGACAAATCATAGTTGGGGATTTCTCTGCGGAAATCTTCCTTGATAGTTGATTTTT